GAGGTAGTAGTATTAGATAGTGGTGGTAGTCGTAGTAATAGTAGTAGTAGTAATACTACTACTAAGTATAGTAGTAGTAGCAGTCGTAGTAGTAGTACAGTACTAGTACTAGTATAGTACTAGTGAAAGGTATAGTAGTAGCAGTATAGTAGTATTAACTACTAGTAGTCGTAGTAGTTAGTACTAAGTACTATACAGTACGAGTACGTAGTAGTATACTAGAGGTGGTACTAGTAGCAGTAGTAGTACCAGTAGTAGTAGTAGTAGTAGTAGTAGTAGTAGTCGTGGCAGTAGTCGTAGCAGTGGTCGTGGTAGTAGTAATGTTAATGGTAGTAGTAGTAATAGTAGTAGTAGTAGTACTAGTACTAGTAGTAGTAGTAGTAATTATAGTAGTAGTGATAATACTAATAGTAATGGTAGTGGTAGTAGTAGTAGTAGTAGTAGTAGTAGTAGGAGAAGTGCTAGTACTAGTACTACTAGTACAGTAGTAGGAGGTAGTGGGACTAGTAGTAGTAGTAGTGCTAGTAGTAGTAGTGCTACTACGAGTAGGTAGTAGTAGGAGGTAGTAGGACTAGTAGTAGTAGGAGGTAGTAGGACTAGTAGTAATGGTAGTAGTAGTGCTACTACTAGTAGTGCTACTACTGCTAGTCGCAGTACGAGTAGTGCTACTACTAGTAGTGCTACTACTAGTAGTAGTAGTGCTACTACTCGTAGCAGTAGGAGGTAGTAGGACTAGTAGTGCTACTACTAGTAGTGCTAGTAGTAGCAGGAGGTAGTAGGACTAGTAGTAGTAGTGCTACTACTAGTAGTAGTACTAGTAGTAGTAGTAGTAGTAGTAGTAGTAGTAGTAGTAGTCGTCGTCCGCCGGCCCCCTTGTGGGGCCACCAGGCTGTAGGCGCGGGTTCGCAGTTTCCTGTGCCAGTTGTAGCTTGTAGTTTCCAGTGTTACAGTTCTGCTTCTTGCTGGTTACTGTAACTAGTTGATTGACCGCGCGAGGGGGGGGAGGCCCAAACCAGATATTTAGCACCTCCTGGGCGCGTTGTCTGAATTGCTGGGGGGGCTCGAAATCACACCCCTCACGCAGATCCGCGGGGTCAGGGTCCAAAAACACAGAGGATTTGCCACATTTCTGAAATTCGGTGCCACCCCTCACGCAGATCCGCGGGGTCAGGGTCCAAAAACACATGGGATTTGCCACATTTCTGAAATTCGGTGCCACCCCTCACGCAGATCCGCGGGTCAGGGTCCAAAAACACAGGGGATTTGCCACATTTCTGAAATTCGGTGCCACCCCTCACGCAGATCCGCGGGGTCAGGGTCCAAAAACACAAGGGATTTCCCACATTTCTGAAATTCGGTGCCACCCCTCACGCAGATCCGCGGGGTCAGGGTCCAAAAACACAGGGATTTCCACATTTCTGAAATTCGGTGCCACCCCTCACGCAGATCCGCAGGGTCAGGGTCCAAAAACACAAGGGATTTGCCACATTTCTGAAATTCGGCGCCACCCCTCACGCAGATCCGCGGGGTCAGGGTGCAAAAACACAAGGGATTTGCCACATTTCTGAAATTCGGTGCCACCCCTCACGCACATCCATCGCAAGGCGTGGTAACCCAAACTGCGAGAACTCCCTCGGCCCTTTAATCGCAAGGTGTGGTAACCAAGCCCGTAAACCATACACGTCTTACCAATCGCCAGGTGTGGTAAACTCTCTTGTGATCAGTTGGTTTTAATGATTGCGAATCGGCTTCGCATGAAGTTTCGATACTGCTTCACGACAGCGCCAAGGCCTCATGACTTAGCTCTTCCATGGCCCATTCTCCGAGAGAGGGGGCCGGCGGCAGGGGGCGAAGCCCTTACGGATAGTAGTAGTAGTAGTAGTAGTAGTAGTAGTAGTAGTAGTAGTAGGAGTAATAGTAGTAGTGGTAGTAGTAGTAGTAGTAGTGGTAGTAGTAGTAGTAGTAGTAGTAGTAGTAGTAGTAGTCGTAGTCGTAGTCGTAGTCGTAGTAGCAATAAAGACAAGCCAACAATTTTTACGCTACTAACTAGAAAGAGTGTTGGCCAGCGTCTACCACAAACAGTGGTTTCTTGCTACGTATGCTGTGCAATGTAGGTGCTGCGACCAATGTGGTGCAATCTAGGTGGTGCAGTCCATGTGGAGCAACCCATACGGCGCAAAGCAGTGCAAAACAATGCAACGCAACGCAAAGCACCGCAAGGTAATGCAAAACAATGCAAGCAATGCAAGCGGGCGGCGACGATAAGCCGGCTGGACCGCCAGCCAGGCCCAAGCGGGCGGCGGCGACGGGCGGCGACGGACGGCGACAATCTGGCTGGGCCTCCAGCGAGGCAAAGTTCTGTAGTAGAGAAGCGGGAACCGCTAAGCACAAGCAGTGTTCGGGAAATATGAACAAGGGATACGTAGCACTAGTAATAGCATCAGCAACATCAGCCGAACAAACATCAATCGGTAGCGGCATGGGTACCGGTATGTCTTTCTCCTCGAAGCACTGGAGGGGTATTGCAGCCCAAGGCGTGGCGGGAGCGGGGAACGCCCCCCCCCCCTCTCAGAGGAGGCGCGCTCACTCTTTTCTCCTCGGCGAGGCGGGGCCGCTTCGACGCGCCGCCCTCGGGGCCCTCGAGTGCGCCCGCGGCGCGCCCTGGGAGGAGGAGGGGGATCGACAGCAGCTGCAGTTGCGCGTTGGCGTACGCCACCTTCGTGAGCAGCCCATCGGAGTACTCGTGGTCCTCCCCGAACATGAGCTCCAGGATGCGCGACGCCTCCATGTAGGCCCGCAGCCCGCGGCGCAGGCTGTCGTCTCCGCCCTCCGTGTCTGGCGCGCCCCCGCGCGCGGCCCGCATCATCAGCGCGTCGCCCAGGGACTCCAGCATCCAGCCGCGCGCCGCGCTGAGGCCAGGGTAGGCGGCGGCCAGGAAGGCGGCACGCGCCTCCAGGAGCCGCACCTGCTCGTCGCGCCTGCCCGCCAGCCGGTGCAGCCTGGCCAGCCTGCCCCGGGCCCTGTCGCCCAGGAAGTGCTGCGGGAAGCAGGCCTCCACGAGCTCCTCGACCTGCTGCGCCTCGATCTCCGACGGGGCCCCGTCCTCCTGCCAGCCGTCTAGGATGCCCTTCAGGGAGGCCTCTGGGTATCGTTTAACCGATGCTCATCCCCAGCGGCGTGGCCTGGGCCCCACTGGCCGATTTACCCCCCCAGATGGGGATACAGGTCGTTCCCTTCGGGTTTCGAGGGGTGTATCCCCAACGGGGGGGTAATTTGGTGGGGGTCTCGAAGGGGATGGGGATGGGGATGGGCATGGGGGTCGGATAAACGATGCTGAGCCTCGTGCCCGCTGAGCGAGATCGCCTGCTCCAGTGTCAGCTCGCAGCCGCAGGCGCCGCAGGCCGCCCCGACCAGCGCTCCGGGTCCCAGCGTGCCGCTGGCCAGCCTTTACGAGCGGCGAACCTATCCGTATCCGCGCCCTTGCGGTCTGGATTCTGGGCCGCGATCCAGCGGATAGGCGGTCGCTCGGACACGCCCCGCGTGGGGCATCCGCGAAAACACGCTCGGTATCCGCGGGGGCGTGGCCCAAGGGCCTGGCCCGCGGGGCCGCGGATGCGAATATGCTCTTCACCCGCGAAGCCTGCTGGGCCCGCCTGGGCTTGCAAAGACGGAGCCCGAGCGGCACACGGGGCAGGTCAGGCCCCTGCTACGATCGACGCCTCCGCAGCACCGCTCGCACGCGCACCAGAAGAGCTTCGACTCCCAGAGGTCCCAGCGCCGCTCCGGGGCGCAGGCCAGCAACAACGACTCGTCCAGGTATGACACGGTGATCTCCTCGCCCTTGGCGATGTTTCGCCGGGCCCGCAGTACGTAGCTGTTCTTGCCGCCAGCGCCGTAATGCCAAAAGGCGTTCGGCCAACACGAGTGCGACATGAACGACGGCAGGAAGTACGTGGCGTAGCCGGGTGGGTCGTCCGAGTAGTCGAACGCATTGTGCACCCACACCTGCAGCACCCGCTCGAGCAAGATGGCCTCTGCTCGCGGGGCGAACTGCTTGCCGATCGCGGCGCAGGCCGCGCTGACACCGTTTCTCTCGCCCTGGTGCAGTATCAGCAGCTTCTCCTGCTTCTCAGGAGCCAGCGGTGGCGCACGCGCCAGGGGGCCGCCTGACAACTGGTCTTCCGTCAGGGACCTCAGGGCGGCCCAGTACCACAAGGGCTCGAAGTCCCAACCGCGTCCATCACACAGCCGCCTCAGCGCCACGAATGCCTCGTCCTGGGCGTCTGCCGCGACCGTCAGCAGCGGCTGCTCCGAGAAGATCACCTGGCCCTGCTGGAACGCGCGCTGGGCGACCAGGACGCGGCCCTTGTCCTGGGTCGGCACGCATTCCACGCAGCCGCCATGGACCTGGGCGGCACGGCCGAGGGCAGCACACACACACACAGCCCTCGCCCACAGGCAAGAGGGACGCTGGGCAGGCTTGACCTTTGGTGCGCCGCTCTCGGGCCCGCGGGGGGCGCCAGATCACAAGCGCGCGGGCCAGTGCTGCGGGGGACCCCCGTGGGCCCGCACTAGGTCACTCTGGCGAAGGAACACTCTCGCGCGCAGCCCAAGCCCTCGAAGGCACTCCGAGCTGCTCGCATGCCTTCCCGGGCAACCTGGGGCGGGGGGTGGTGCCGTCGGAGGCGCACCAGGTTCTTGGCCCCATCCAGGAGCACACGGAGGGGGGCGTGTCGAGGCCAGCCACCACCCCAAATCTTCGACATGTTGTTTGCTTAATTTTGAAATTCGGTGCTTCTCCTCGATCTCGGCCTCAGGGGCCCGTTACTTGAACCCGGACCGGGACCACTGGGACGAAAATCTTTCCCCAGGGAAGGGGTCCAGACCTCTTTTGGAATGAACAGCTTGGTGGTTAATGCGATGGTTGTTACTGCTGTCCGCTTCCGCAGCTAGAAACTACCCTAACAAGCCTAACAAGCATTCCGTATTTTCATAGTGGTTGATCAATGATGCAGGTGGTCCAGGCAAGACCCCCGTCCCGCCGACCTTCACTTGGGAATGGTATTGCTTGCTTTTCGCAATCTAATTTTCTGTCAGAGGGGGGAGGAAGGACAGGGAACTCGCGAAGCACAGCCTCGCACCGACCGCCGGGCCCGACGCAGAAGCCCTGGACTCGCGAAGCGAGGCAACTGCGGACTGCTTCGGATCACGAGATGGCAGCTGGGGGCGCTGGTTTCATATTTGCACACTGGCTCAACCACCAACGCCCCAACCACCTTTTCGGAAACTCGAGCTCTTCCTGCCGCGGATCGAAACAACTCACGCCGCCAGGCATCTGGGGCTGCGGCAGGCTCCTGCCGTGGCGGTGTGGGCCGTGCTGGTTCCTGCCGCTGCGCCGGCCGCTCGGCCGTTCGGAGAGGTCCGCTCCGCTGCTGGGCGCGCCCAGGGGTAGTTTTCCCTATGTGTTGAAAGCCTCGGGCGCAGGGACTCACCACGAGTCGCTTCAAAGACGGGCGAGCAACGGCTGCCAACAGAGGGCCACATGCGAGCCCTACCCCTACCCCCCACGACTTCTGAGAGGGAGGGCGGGGTTCACCTCGTTCGGGAGCTCCCGAGCGAAGGGAACCCCACCCACCCTCCAGAAATCGTGGGGGGTTTGGGGTAGGGTTCGCATGCGGCCCCCTACCCACGTGCCTCTCCTGCTCCTCCTCCTCCTCCTCCTCCTCCTCCTCCGCCTCCGCCTCCTCCTTCTCCTCCTCCTCCTCCTCCTCCTCCTCCTCCTCCTCCTCCTCCTCCTCTTCCCAGAGCGGCACAGCGCCAACATCGACGCGCGGAAGGAGACGCACAGCCAAAAAAGCTGCCAGGCCGAGGGCCTCCGGAGGCCACTCCTGGGCGCTCCCCGGCGGAGGATCGGCACTCGCAGGCCCGCGAGAGGAGGAGAGGGAAGAGCGGACGAAGGGGAGGGGAGAGGGAGGGGGAGGGCGGGGGAAGGGCGAGGAGAGGAGAGGAGAGGGAGGGGAAGGGAGAGGAGAGGGAGGGGGGGAAGAGGGGCGAAGGCGACGGGGGAAGCGAAGAGGGGGCGACGGGGAGAGGGAAGAGGGGGCGAAGGCGAAGGGCAAAGAGTGACCCTGGGCAAGAGTGACCTTTGGTGCGCGGCTTTTTGGGGGCCGCGGGGAGACCAAACCTGGGCGCGCAAACCGCTGCTACCGCTTCGTTTTCAGCCATCTGCGGGCCCATCTGTGCCCGCATCAAAGGTCACTCCGGCGAAAGGTCACTCTTACGTCTAGTTGAAGGGAGGGGAGAGGAGAGGAGAGGAGAGGAGAGGAGAGGAGAGGAGAGGGTCCACCTTACACCGGCGCCCCGGCGCGATGTTGCTGGAGCGAAGCGCGACGGTGCTGGAGGGGATGGAAAGCGAAGTGTTGGCGCCAAGACACCAGGTCTTGCGATCGGGCGTCACCGGCGACGACGCGAGAGCAGAGAAACGATTGAAGACACGGTTGACACTCATGAACAGACGGCTGTCCGACGATAATATCTGGAAGGACGTTGTGCGCAAGCGAACGCCCCCAAGGGGAGACCGGAAGGCATAATCTGGGGTCGCATCGCCGCACGGATCGCGACGCTGCCTGTCGTGGGAGTCGGTGGGAAGAACGAGACCAGGCAGAACGAATAGGAGCGGAAGAAGGAGAAGGGCGGAAAACATCGGAGAACATGGATGTGCCCTGCCCAATCTCACTGCGGTGAATGAAAACAAGTACGGCGATGTTACGACGAACAGCAAAGGGAGCAAGACTGCGTCCCAACAAAGCCGTCGCGTCGGATACGTCCAGGGCGCGCAAGAAGCGGCACTGCACATAATATGATACCGAAAAGGCGGTGGACGAGGAATGGCTTATAGCAGCCGTCCGGTATTCAATATGAGACAGAATGTGGCGTTTGTGCAAAGCGATCAACTCCCGAACGCTATATTACCGACAGCACTGTAATATAGAACGAGGGCGCCATCCGGCTTCGCACGCACACTCTGTGTTTGTATCGTTCATGAGAAGCTTGCAATCGAACGCCACACCTAGAGAACGAAAACTGTCGCCGTGCCTTCACGAGAGTAGATCCTAACCGTGAGGAGCTTTGCGCTTAACCGTGAGTGATTGAGTGCAGGCTGTGAGTGCACGCTGTAAGTGCACGCTGTGGTGAGCGCACGCTGTGAGTGCACGCTGTGAGCCCACGCAGTGATGAGTACACGCTGTGAGCGTACGCTGTGAGTGCACGCTGTGGTGAGCGCACGCTGTGAGTGCACGCTGTGAGTGCACGCTGCGGTGAGCGCACGCTGTGAGTGCACGCGGCGTCGAGGGCTCGCTGAGCTGATGAGCGCGCTCGCACAGCTTGCGCTCGCAGCGTGCGCTCACAGCGTGCACTCACAGCGTGGGCCCACAGCGTGGGCTCACAGCGTGGGCTCTCAGCGTGGGCTCACAGCGTGGGCTCACACCGTGGGCTCACAGCGTGGGCTCACACAGCGTGGGCTCGCAGCGTGGGCTCACAGCGTGGGCTCACAGCGCGGACTCAGAGCGTGGGCTCACAGCGTGGGCTCACAGCGTGGGCTCACCACGGCGGGCACGCACAGCAGCGTGGGCCAATCACGCTGTGAGTGCACGCTGTGAGTGCACGCTGTGAGTGCACGCTGTGAGCGCACGCTGCGCGCCACCCGGTGAGAAAGACCGTGAGCGCACGCTGTGAGTGCACGCTGTGGGCCCGACGGAGTCTCGAATTGCTCACGCGCTGGATTTCTCCGCGCGGTCCGAGAGTGATTTCCTCTGTGGTGTGTGTGCGTGCGTTTGTGTGTGGTGGTGGTGGTGGTGGTGGGAGTGGTGGTGGCGGTGATTGTAGTGGTGGTGGTGGTGGTGGTGGTGGTGGCGTTGGTTGTGGCGGGATATTTGGCGGTGGTGGTGGTTGTGGTGGTGGGGTGGTGGGGTGTGTGTGTGTGTGTGCGTGTGGGCGTGGTGGGTGCTGCGCGGTGTGTGCCGTGCGGTGTGCGGTGTGCGGTGGGCAGTGTGTGGTGTATGGTGTGTGGTGTGTGGTGTGTGATGCGTGGTGGGTGCTGTGTGGTGCGTGGTGGGTGGTCTGTGGTGGGTGGTGGTGGGTGGTGTGTGTGTGTGGTGTGTTGCGTGTGCGGTGTGCGGTGTGGTGTGTGTGGCGTGTGGTTTGTTGTGTGTCGTGTGTTGCGGGTGGTGTGTTGCGGGTGGTGTGTTGCGTGTGTGTTGCGTGTGGTGTGTTGCGTGTGGAGTCTTGCGTGCGGTATGTTGCGTGTCGTGTGTGCGTGTGGCGTGTTGCGTGTGGTGTGTTGCGTGAAGTGTGTGTGTGTGGTGTGTGTGGTGTGTTGCCTGTGGTGTGTCGCGTGTGGTGTGCTGAGTGTCGTGTGTGGCGTGTGGTGTGTTGCGTGTCGTGTGTGGCGTGCGTTGTGTTGCGTGTGAGGTGTGTTGCGTGTGGTGTGCTGCGCGCGGGAGGTTGCGTGTCGTGTGTGTGTGTGTGTTTGGCGTGTGGTGTGTTGCGTGTGGTGTGTTGCGTGTGGTGCGTTGCGTGTGGTGCGTTGCGTGTGGTGTCGGAATGTTGTGTGTGGTGTGTTGCGTGCGGAGTGTTGGGTGTGGTGTGTTGCGCGTGTGTTGTGTTGCGTGTGCGGTGTGTTGCATGTGGTGTGTTACGTGTGGTGTGTTGCTTGTGGTGTGTTGCGTGTGGTGTGTCGCGTGTGGTGTGTTGCGTGTGGTTTGTTGCGTGTGGTGTGTTGGGCGTGTGTTGTGTTGCGTGTGCGGTGTGTTGCGTGTGGTGTGTTGCGTGGGCTCCCAGCGTGGGCTCACAACGTGTGCTCACACCGTGGGCTCACAGCGTAGGCTCATAGCATGGGCTCACAGCGTGGGCTCACAGCGTGGGCTCACAGCGTGGGCTCAACACAGCGTGGGCTCAACACAGCGTGCACTCACAGCGTGGGCTGAACACACCGTGCATTCACAGCGCGGGCTCACAGCGCACACTCAACACAGCGTGCACTCACAGCGTGCGCTCAATCACTCACGGTTAAGCGAAAAACCATTCACGGTTAAGCGAAAAGCTACTCACGGTTTGGATTCGCCTTCGCTCTTCGCAGCAACAAACAAAAGAGAACGGAAACCTGACGCTTCCAACTTTGACGCAAGGCGCGTGGCTGACACTCTGTCAAATGCCCCTGAAGCATCGGAAGTGTACGCTGCTATAAGTTTACCGCCGCTGAGCGCTGTCACTTAACATCAAGAATAGGATCGCGTCCCGCGATCCTCTGCCGGGTGTGCACGCAAATTGAAAGTTGCCAAACCGCAGTTCCCGGACCAACCGAAAAACAAAGAGAGACGCAATCATTCGCTCCACGACCTTAGAAATTT